TCTACTTTAAAAAAGAAATTTTTTTAAACTTCCTATTACTCCTTTCTTTATTAGTTTCATTTTTTACGTGAGAGATTTTACCCTACACTTTTTCTCTCTCTCACTCTTTCTTTTCTCTTTTTTAATCTCTATCTTTATTTCTCTTTTTCGCCTCTTTCTTTGGCATTAAAATTATACTAGAAAACTAAGTTTACCAAAAGTAAATCGTACTAAAAAATGTCTCTCCTTTCACTTGAGGCTAACGTAATATTTGAACAGTCCTTTTCCAGTTTTAAAAACACTTAGCAGCAATCTGTTTAAAATTTTAGTGAACAACTCAAAGGTCGCTTATCTCGAGAGTGGATTTTCCTACATACACACACAGACACAGATTGACCGACACATACACACGTATACATAAATTCCTTAAGAAAAGTGCGGTACTTTGCTTTTACGTAAATCAGAAACTTTGTATTTAAAGAATTTACAGAGGACATGAGAGTGAAAATGTTTTGTTGGCACGCAAAATTGAAATTTATTTTAACTTTCCCTGATGAACCACACTGTAATGAACCATCACGGTTGTACTTGCTATTCTGTCAACGTTTTCATTGAACGGGAAACTCTTTTTCTGTGTACTATATACTATATAAGTATATATATATATATATATATATATATATATATATATATATATATATATATATATATATATATATATATATATATATATATATATACTACTACTACATGTATTATATATATATAGCCACAGACATTCACTGAATAAAGCTAAAACAGAAGTAAAACAAGAAGCCAGAAAGAAAATCTGAAGACGCGCGTCTGTCTTGAAATAAGAATGAGTGTTTCATTTTAAAAGAAGTGGACCACTTTTTCAAATAGAAAAAGAAAGATACTGAGTAAAGAAGAGAAGTTCATGTACTGCAAAGTCAGTTACGTCGCCCATACTGATACAGAAAATGAGAGAAAAAGAAAGAGAGGGAGAGAAAAAATACATTAAAAGGAAATTCAAGAATAATTAATTTTTTTTATTCACAACAAAATTTTTATGTTACAACAATTTTAGAAGAAATTTCTGTTTCTTAAAAACTTGAAAAAAACAGAAAAGAATTACCAATTACACAGGCCTGCATCATTTCGAGATAATGAATGCGACTAGGTGTTTCCGAAGGCAAATTTTGCCATGAACACGAATCCGAGGTCCAAAATGCTCCATCACGTCAAGTTTTTGAAAAAAATGGGGTTGAAACTAGAGTTGTGCAAAATTCGAACCGAACCGAGTTTAGTTCGGTTTTGGGGCGCTGAAATGTCGAATGTCGAATATTCGACATCTGAACTGGGCTAGTTCGAATGTCGAATATTCGACATTCGAACTGGGCGACTGAAATGTCGAATTGTAGAATTCGACATTTTAGCGTACTAAAACCGAACACAACTCGGTTCGGTTTGAATTTTGTAGTAACTTGAATGTCGAATATTCGACATCCGAACTGGGCTAGTTCGAATGTCGGTTTTTCGACATTCGAACTAGGCTAACTCGAAAGTCGAATTTTCGACATTCGAACTAGGCGAAAAAATTCTAACAGTTCGGTTCGAATTATTTTGCACAGCTCTAGTTAAAACCCCTAAAAACAGCGTTTTTGGCACTTTTTGAAAAATTGTGGGTCAAAATCCTGACGTGATAAAAATTTCGCTATTATCAAAAAATTAAAGCTTAATTCATGCCCTTTCAAATGAGCCCTCAGCCGATTAATATCCTTTAACCCTTAAAGCAGGGGGTGTGTTTTTGTCCAGGGGTGCAAAAACTTTAAAATACATATACAAAAAAAATTATTTAAGAGATTTTTTAGGGGTTGTGAATTGAGAAAAATTTTGAAGCTATAGGTTTAAGTACACGGCTACCCCTAAAAAAACCCTTAAATAATTTTCTTTGTATATGTATTTTAAAGTTTCTGCACCCCTGGACAAAAATACACCCCCTGCTTTAAGGGTTGAAGGATATTAATCGGCTAAGGGCTCATTTGAAAGGGCATGAATTAAGCTTAAATTTCTGATAATAGCGAAATTTTTATCACGTTAGGATTTTGCCCCACAATTTTTCAAAAATTGCCAAAAACGCTGTTTTTAGGGGTTTCAATCCCATTTTTTTCAAAAACTTGACGTGATGGAGCATTTTGGACCTCGGATTCGTGTTCAGGGCAAAATTTACCTTCGGAAACACTTTGTCGCATTCATTATCCCGAAAAAAAGTTTCATTTTGCAGGCCTGTGTTATGATCTTCTAAAATTTTGGGTAATTAGTACGATAATAATTTTACAGGAATTTCATTTTGAACGTCTTCTTATATTAAAAAATAAATAATTCATGTAGAAGGATTTCCGGAAAATTTTCGGATAAGACTTTCGAGAAAAATCGAGAAAGTTATCAGTAATTTTTTCGAAAATTTCCGAAACCCAATATTGGAAATTTTTCGAAAATACTTCCACATGGGAAAAAGGAAAATAAATATAAACAAAATAAAAAAGCAGATAAAATTAAAAATAAATCCTCTCTCAATTCGAGTCAGTTAACAATCACAGTTAAACTGATAATCAGTGAATGAGCTTTTGCTTTTGCTTTTGCTTTTGCTTTTGCTTTTGCTTTTGCAAACAGTTAAAAATAACTGATTGTTAGTGAAAAAATGACTGATTTTCATTAAAAAAATAACTGAAAAATTAAATAAATTTAACTAATTGTAACAATTAAAAAAAATCTACTCAAACATTAGTTATTTTTAACTGATTCAAATTTAGAGAGTAGGGAGAATAATGTTAAAAAATATAATAAACTAGCTGTCGTACCCGTCTTCGACATGTTTTAGTTTCTACAAATGCATTCAATAGTGTGTCTACCAGTCTCGAAAAATGGAAAATAGAGGGGAATTTAATTTGACCGGAAAAAATAATAATTAGCTACCATTTACTATTTCATTAGAAAAATATAACTACATATTTTAAATCAGTGATTGACTTTTTATCATCAAATAATTTGTTTTTAATTAATTAAAATGCAGGGAACAATTTTTATCAATTATTTGTAGAAATTTAATTATTGTATTATAAGTTAATCGAAAATTTCCACCAGTTTTTGCTAAAATCTAAAATAAGACCTATATTGCAGGCTGAATTCACAGTTTTTCCCAATTAAATTAAATTCCTGCATATTTTCCGTTTTTCCAGTTGGTAGAACCCCTGTTAAAAGTATCAGTAAAAACAATAACCCGTCGAAGAGTATTTTCATAAAATAAGTGAATTTTTGTAGCCATTTGTAGTTTTATTTATTGTTAATACTTATCAAGATTTATATTTGATGAGAATAGATACACCTGGAAAAATTTGGACAAAGCTGGGAAAACCGGATAGTTTGTTAAACAAAAATAATAATAGACACCCTGTTTAACTTTTGCCTTTACAATGCTCAAAACATCCCTAAAAGTTAAATCTAGAATTAAAATAACATAACTTTTTACTATCTAAGTTTTTTCCCAGTATCATAATGCAAGTATCGTATCACAGGTATTCTTGAATTCCTGCAGTATCAATTTTATCATAAAAAATCTCCATTTTTAATATTATCGAAGTTTTTGCAATTGAAAATTTTTTTATTAATTAAATAAACAAATAATTCTAAATTCCATTATTTTGACATCAAAAGTTTATCAGAGACCCCAAAAATACTACTGAATTAAGCTTGATAGTAATTGGTCTCTCAATTATAATTTTTCAATTTTTTGATATTAAAAACATTTTTATACATACTTCCATCTTATAGTTATAGGACAGTTTTTTTCAAAGTTATGCTCAAATATGACTAAATAACATGCAATATTTAATGACAAAAAGTTTAAAAGGTATACATTAAAAAATATAAAATTTGGAAATTTTACATTTTTTTAATTTTTTGAAAAAATTGAATACCTCCCATTCTAACTAATAAGTTCAAAATCTGTAAATTCATTGTTTATATATATTTTACAAAAGTCATAACTGATTAATTTACAGCAATCTGGCAAAATTAAAAAAAAAATTTCGAATTTTTTGGAAAATTCATAATTTTTTTTCATATTAATATTATTTTTTAATTCAATTTATTGTTATATATATCTTTAAAATCATTTATATTATTAATAAATTAAAAAATTTATGCCAATCTGCAAAAATAAAAAAAAAATTTTTTTTTAATTTTTTGAAAAATTTATAACTTTTGTTCATCTCAATATTTTTTCATCAAATATAGCTAATATTTTAAGTCAGACCAATACCTTAAAGATTGCCAAATTTTACTTCAATCGGTCAAAACGTTTTCAAGTTATACGCGAACAAAATTTTGCGGGCATACATACATACATACATACACACACACATACATACATATAGACATACATACATACAGACATATTACTATTTTTGGATTCTCCGTTGTTCAAATAAATAAATTATGCTAGAAAAAATTAATTTCGTGCAATGTACAGACAAAAGTCTGATTTTATTAATATAGATAGATATTGTTATTATTATTATTATTATTAAAATTTGTTATTAATAAATAATTAATTTATTAATTTAATTGAAAATAAAGTTGAGGGCATTTTATGAAATCCACGAGGGCACCGCGTGGAAAATCCATATGGAATTCATGAGGATTTTCCTCGAGGGCACCCATGAGGGAAAGCATGTCACGCCTTCGAGGGCTCCACGTGGATTGCCCCTACACTGAAAAACTGTTGGTAGAGCTGTTTGCCTAATGCGGTGAACTGCTGCGTTAAAAAGAAACGCACAGCTCACTTTATTTTTGGGCGAGTTACTCTCCTTTTTGGGCGAGCAACTCTCCTTTTTGATAGAGCTGCTGACCTTTTTGTCAAGCAGCCGCTCGCCAACGCCATTGGTAGTCAAGTTTAGGAGAGCAACTCGCCTAATTTTGATAGAGCTGTGAGTTTAAAATTAAGTAGCGCTGCACAACAGTCAATAGCGGAACTGCTCTACCAACAGTTTTTCAGTGTACGGGTTCCACATGGCAAGAGGGCAATCCACGAGGGCCCCGCCGGGGGCCCTCACCATTTTTCTGCACGGGATAGAAACATTAATAAACACATTAAAAAAACAAGTTGCAGATAAAAGAATAAATAAATGAAGAATATAATAGGTATTTACTTATTTTATAATAATTGTCGTATTAAATTCATTATTCATTCATTCTGTGTCCACACATTAAAATTAGTCATTTTTCCTTTTTTCAACTTTTATTAAATAAAATTAACTTTAATTAACTTTATTAACATTATTAACTTTATTACCTTTATTAACTTTAATTAACTTTTATTAACTTTTATTATTTATTTTTTTTTTAACTTTTATTTATTGAAATTAAATGATTTTTATATAATTTTTTCCAATTTTTAAAAAATTTTCTACTAAAGACAAGATTATTTTTTAAAATTTTAATTTCTATTGATTATTTTAAGGAATTAAATTATCATGAAAAAAATTTAGTTAAAATTTAATTTAAAAAAAACTTAATTTTTTCAAAATGGAATAAAATAAATAAAATTTTATTATACAGTAATATGATTTTAAATAAACAAAAAAATTGTTAGTAAACAAGTGAATTTTTCAATTTTATAATTGTAATTAAATCTATAAATTGCAATACAATATATACTTTATATGTCATCATTGAAATGACAATTCAATTAATTATTTAATTAATATTGACTTTAATATTTTTAATTTTAAGTTTAAATCTTCTTTTAGCATTCAGTATTTTGGTATTCAAAGATATTGTTTTTCAACATTTTGGAAATTGTTTACAATTTTTTCTTTTGTAATTAAACTATTAACGTAGATATTTGAAATTATTTTATTTTTAAAAAATTGATTCTCAATTGTGAACAATATTCATTAATTATTTTAATTAATATAAATTATTAAAATAGTTAATATGTTGAACAAAAATTGAAAACGTTACTATTAAGTATATGTATTGTCAAAATATAAGAGCATTTTTTCGGTTAGTATAATTAACTAAACATAATTAAATGCATTAGTAATAATAAAGTAGAAATTTGTTAGATAAAATAAACAAGTGATATGCATTTCTTAAAATTATTATTATATGAATCATAAATGGAATTACTGATAATAAATTAAATAAGTAAAATAAATAAATTAATTAATTAAATTAACGTATAATAACAATGTAAAGAAATAATGATAATCAATGAAAAATAAACAAGAAATTGTACTATATAAAAAAGAAATTGAAAAATTCTCTGCACACAAAAGGGCACAATCTCTCTCTCACTCTCTCACTTTCTTCTTCTTTTTTTTCAATTTTTGGTCTCCAATTCTAAAAACGTCAGTTTTCTTTCGTGTTCACGTATAGGTTTATATATATATATATATATATATATATATATATATATATATATATATATATATATGTATATAAAGTATAAGCTAGGGAAAATATTACGATTGGAAATTGAGTATTGTACAAGCGACGGTTTAGATTACCCACTCAAGTATTGCCAAGAGAAATCGTCGATAGAATCCGTCACATATGTCAATACCTACAAATACCATCAAAAAGACATATTTCCTCACAGTCACGAATTTCAACATATGACAAGAGAAGTCATTCCAATTTCCATTCCTCTTTTTTTTCTTTTAGAAAAAAATCTCTTCGTGTACATGAGACCCTTCCCTCTCTGAAGATTAATCAGTACTTCTTTGTAAATTCAAAAAAAAAAAAAAATGAAAAAAAATGTTGATTGATACTTTGACCTAATTGGCAATTAACATCTTCAAAGAGAAATAAGAAAAGGCAAAAAAGTTTAAAAAAAATGGTGTGTTTAATTCGCAAGGGAGAACATGAAGGAGAAGCACACTAATTTTATTATATTTTGTCCCATTTCATGCAAATCACGAAGCAAATGACAAAAAGAGAAGCAGTCAAAATTTTCAAATTGTAATTAACTGAAAAGAAGCAGTGTAATTGTTGTGGAAAATTTTATTAGAAAATAAAAATTTTTCAACAGGTGTAGAAAATTTCTTTTTGGATTTAGAAAGTAAAGTAGAGTTAAAATATTTAATAATTGTTATTTTCATTGAAATTTATTTTTGTTTTCACGAGTTTTTTTGCGAGAAACGAAAATATAATTAAATAAAAAAATTTGTTAAGAACTTCAAAAATTTTGGTAATTAATTTTATTCTTTTATTGGATTTTTTGACGAGAAAAATTTGTAAAATTTAGATAAATTTTTTATAATTTTAAAAGAAAAAAACTATTATTAAAAACGAAAAAGAAGTTTTAATTTATTCCAGAAATTATTAATTTATATAAAGAGATGATGTTATTTAAATTTGTTTTGTCTAGGACGTGAATTGTTATATGTGCAAAAAAAACAACATAAAATATGTAGTGGTTGCAAATGCCTTTCAGATGAAGTCTCGAAAAATAAATCTTCATCCGCTCTCATTTATCATGTGCAACATTTATGATTTTATTAAGCTTTGCGTAAAATATACACGTTAAAAAATGCTTTTCTCTCAAATTCATTAAAAAAAGTGATGGATTTGTATGCATTAAAATGTTTTTTTTCAAAACAACGGATTTTTATTTATCTCTAATTACAGTAAATTATCAAATATGTTAATAAATTTATTACCTACTAAATTAACTAATGAATTTAATAAACAATTTATTTACAAATTTATTAACAAACTTATTTGAAAATTTATTAGTAAATTTATTCACAAATTTATAAATAGGTAAAGTTATTTACCACTTTACAAAAAATAAATTTATTTACAAATTTTTTAGTTTTTATAAATAAAATTGTGGGTAATTGAATTACTTTTTAATAAAATTGTTGAAAAATTTGTTAATAACTGTTAATAATTATTAATTTACAACACAAATAACAATCATTTTGTGTTATTAACAAATGTTTTAACGATTTTATTAAAGAATAAATTTATTAACAAATTGATAAAAATTTTTACCTACACACAAAAGTTATTAACAAAATGTATTCACAAATATACAAAAAGAATTCTTTAATTCATTTACAAATTTATTAACTTAGAAATTACAATATTTAATGACAAATTATTTAAAAAAAACATAAAATTAAATGCAAACTGTTTCTACAATTTTTTTTATAGAAAAAAGCATTTTTTTTAAATTTTTGAGAGTATAAACATTGTCATGCCGTTATAACAAAATTTCGAAATCCATTCAAAAATAAACAAAAGCTGATGATAATAAAGTGGTTTAATTTCCGATAACAAGTTTTCAAACTATTTTACAAACAGGAAAATGCTTGTAATGTTAATTAAGTTTCTAATTATTATTAACATATTATTACAATGTAGCATAAAATGAGCTGTCATGTTTTATTGTCAATTATTTGTTCTCTTTTTATAATATTCCCCTCATCGTTTTACATTTTCACATATATTCAACTCCTCTCCCACCTCTCCTATCCAAAGCTTAAAATTATGTATTGTTTAAAATTATGTATTATTTAAAATTCTTATTTTCTTCTCAAATTAGAAAATAAATTTTACTCTAATAATTAATAATTAGCTAAGAAATAAATTCTAAAAAATTTAATTTTACAATTGTTGAGAAAGTATTATTAATTACCATAATGAGTTAAACAATTTATAATAATTAATTTTACACAACTGATAAATGACAATATTTTGTATCGAAATGTTTCATTCCTTTTTGGTTAGTGGTTTGTTTAGAGTAATAAATTTTCAATAGACATTTTGTCAGATAAAATACCAAATAGTATTTTTGGTAAATCCATTATTTGGCATGTTAATTTATGAGTAATTCGACGATAAATTAATTACGTATCAACGTTCAATTAGAGCTTTTAATATTGTAATGATTAGTTACTTACTGTAAATACAACATAATAATAGTTTCATTTTGAAAAGGCAACTATTTTAATTGTTATTAACTGTTTAATTTTAATTAATTAATGATTTAAATTATTTTTTTAATTTAATTGTATTTAATTATTTATTAATTAAACTGATTACATTAATTTAGTTAATTAGTCGATTAAAATAATTTAACTATTTAATTATTTATTTAAATTAAACTATCTATTTAATTGTTTAAATTCAACTAATAATTATTAGTTTAAATTAAACTAACTAATTAATTGTTTAAATTAATTGAACAAACTAATTAGTCAATTAAATTAATGTAACTAATTAATACTATTAATTTAACTAACTAATCAGTTGTCTAAATTTAACCAAATAATTAGTAGTTTAAATTCAACAAAGTAATTTGTTAAACAATTTATTAATCCTAATTATTAGTTAAAGGCCTTAACGTTAATTATTTAGTGATTAATTCTTTACTTTGATAACTATTTAATTAGTTGAATAAGTAAATAATCTGATGAAAAATTAATTAATTAGTTGGTTAACGAATTAATTAGCGAAATAGTTAATTACTAAATTCACTAAATTACTTAAGTCACTAAATTATAATAAATTATTCAATAATATCCTGTTGTTATGAATTAAAAAAATTATCAAATAATTAAATAAATTCATTAATTTCAATACACAACGGAAATAAATTTTTTCTTTCATTTTACATTTCAAGAAGATTGTCGTTAAAGACTTCGAGAAATTTAACGAGTACAATTTATTCGTGTGACAATATCCTTATATTTTCACTGTAAGAAAAAAAAGTTTAAAAAAAGCTTTAATGGTAACTATAATTTATCTCCATTTTCGTAGAGAAAAAATTCTTTTTTTTTGTCTCCAAGTTAAAAAGTTTCGAAATAAAAAATTAAATATAAAATCAGGTATAAAGAGATATAAATTCAGAAAAATAAATATATAATGCGGTTGAAAAAATATAGAAATGAAATCGCTACTCAGTGGGTTTTATATAATTTAAGACATTCGTTTAAAAAAAAGAAAATAACAAGATGGATTGGAAAAGTTTAGGAAAAAAAATTTGTTAATTCCTCTACAGAGATATTTTTACATATATACATGTATAAGCGAGTGTTATAAATTTTATAAAATACTGGCAGCTTGAGTATCAAGTTTTTCCCTTGTCCCAGGTGTATATTTCTGCGCGCGCCAAGTAGAGATGAAAAGTAATATTAAAAGGAAATGTTATTCTTAATTATTAGGGAAAGTTTTTTTGTTCACTGCATTTTTTTTGCTTTAGGCGAAAAATATTATGCAAATAGTACAATGTTAATTAGAAAATAGATTTACTTAATTATTTGTAATAATTAATAAATTATAATATTAAAAAAATTAAATTAATAACAAACAGATTTTTACTATTTTTTAAAATTATTTCTTCGGCATTTCACACGTCGAAATTTATAATTTTTTAAAAACAAACAATAATGTTACAGTATTTAATCAAAAAGTACTTTAATGTTCTTTAGAAATTTTTGCACATTATTTTTTAGAAATATTATACGTAATTAAAATTTTTGTAGTATTTTTAAATTATTTTTTCGTAATATTTAAATAAGTAAATTTTTACTTTTCGAATAGTACTTTTTTGGAAACAGGAATATTTTTATAGCATTCCATAGGAACATTTCTACAATAGTCTTAAAAAATATTCCTACAGTACTTAAGAATACTATTGCAGTGTTTTGCTATAAAGTTATTATTAATATAAAAAAATATTCTTACATTATTCTTAAAAAATATTCGTAAAGTATTATGTAAGAATTTTTCTACAGTAATTGAAAATACTATTTCAGTTTAATGTAGGAAATTATTTGCTGATTAAGAATTTTAATTAAGGAAGATTTCGACTATATCAGCAATTAGTGACATCTATTAGACGTCAATTGAACTCTTTGGTTTAAAGTCAGGTGTTATTCTTAAGATAATTATTCCGATATGGTTGTCGGTAAATAATTATATTTTTGAATTTAATTTTTGATCTGAAAAAATAAGCTGCGTGAACGACTGCACTGTGCATCTGTGAGGACTCGAACCCCAGTTAATAGCTGCCTTTCGCGGGACTAACGCCTACCAATGCACCATGCCAACACAGCCTGGACGTTCACGTTTCTTATAATCTCAGATCAAGCCCATACACTAGTCGAAGAGCTGTATAGTTAATGTAGGAAATTATTTGCTGATTAAGAATTTTAATTAAGGAAGATTTAACGTCGTTAACGCAGCTTATTTTTTCAGATCAAAAATTAAATTCAAAAATATAATTATTTACCGACAACCATATCGGAATAATTATCTTAAGAATAACACCTGACTCTAAACCAAAGAGTTCAATTGACGTCTAATAGATGTCACTAATTGCTGATATAGTCGAAATCTTCCTTAATTAAAATTCTTAATCAGCAAATAATTTCCTACATTAACTATACAGCTCTTCGACTAGTGTATGGGCTTGATCTGAGATTATAAGAAACGTGAACGTCCAGGCTGTGTTGGCATGGTGCATTGGTAGGCGTTAGTCCCGCGAAAGGCAGCTATTAACTGGGGTTCGAGTCCTCACAGATGCACAGTGCAGTCGTTCACGCAGCTTATTTTTTCAGATCAAAAATTAAATTCAAAAATATAATTATTTACCGACAACCATATCGGAATAATTATCTTAAGAATAACACCTGACTTTAAACCAAAGAGTTCAATTGACGTCTAATAGATGTCACTAATTGCTGATATAGTCGAAATCTTCCTTAATTACTATTTCAGTTTTTTGTAGAAATATTTTAAAAGTATTACAGTAGGAATTTTTTTATATTATTTCTTAGAAGTATTCATATATTTACGCCATAAATATTATTTCAATATTTCGTAAGAATATTCCTTTAGTTTTTTGCAGAAATATTTCTATAATATTCTGTAGAAATATTTTTACCTAGAAATAAAATATATTCTTTTTCTAAAATATTTTGTTTCTATTTCGCAGAAGAATATTTCTTTATAATATTGCGGAATACTATTTTGAATACTATTTTCAATAATTTCCAAAAATCCTATTTCAAAAATTCTTTTAAAAAAATTATAGTATACATTTATATTAAAATTTTCCAATCTGTATGTTTATTTTCAATTTTTCAAAAATCCTAAAATAAAAATGAGAAAAGAATGATTAAAATGTTTTGATTTGGTAAAAATATATATAGAAGATTGCAAAAAAATGATTCTTACCTTGCATTTTGGATATTCCTCCTCAGGATTTGGCCTCTTCCAACCCAATAACGGTGGAATACACACCAATGCCGACAATAACCAAACAAGTGCAATCATTAATGCCGCTCTTGCCGGTGTTCGTTTCTTCAAATAAGCAATTGCTTGCGTTATACTCCAAAACCTGTCCAAACTAATTAGACACAAGTTCATAATACTCGCCGTACAAAGTAAAACATCCATTGCCGAATAAATATCACACCACCAATATCCAAATATCCAATAGCCCATTATTTCATTAGCCAATGAAAATGGCATTATAATGAGTCCCAAAAAAAAATCCGCCACCGCTAAACTCGCAATAAACCAGTTTTGTATATTTTTTAATGCCTTCTCAGTTGCTATTGCAATAATAACAAGCATATTACCAACAACAATCACAATCATCAATAATGTCACCACAATTGATGCAAATACTATTGTCGGTAAACTATAACCCGATGGATACATACTGAGTACAATAAATGTCTCATTCTCCATACTTTTATTACACGGATATAATGTTTCATTTAACGATGACGATGACGAATTAAATGTAAAATCAAAATCCTCTAGGGGATCATTAAAATCAAATAGAAGATTGTCCTCAATTGTAGTCATATTGTAAACACTTTTTTCCGTTTCGGTATTAATTGTCCTCTCACAACCACTCTCACAATCACAGATTAATTTTCTTTTATTATTATTATTAGTATTTTTAGTATTAATACTATTTTTATTATTATCGGTGATCACTGTATTATTAACTGTGATTTCTTCTTCGTATTCGATTGTTGGTGTTGTCGAGGATGTTGCGGACGTTGTTGATGACAATGTCGATAGTGCTGACGATGATAATTCCGATGATAATTCTGACGATGACAATCCAGATAACTCTGATAATTCAGATGATGACAAACCTGATGAGGATAATTCCACTTGCAATCCTGATAATTCAGCTAATTTCGATGAAGACAGTGATGATAATCCTGATAATTCGGATAATTTCGATGACGACAATGACGAGGAGGGGAAATTTAATAATGGTAATGGTGATGATAATTGTTGATCGGCAATCGTGGTGGTTGTTTTTGTTGTTGTTGTTGGTGATGTAAATTTGAAGGACAATGCTGAAGATGACGAGCGACCAGTAACGAGAGCAACATTCCACGTGTTCATGTTACCCTCATCAATGTTGCTCGCCGATTTTCGACTACCGGTGCCGATGCTCATTATGCTGCCAATATTCGGCATCACTTGCACCTGCGAACCAATTTGCAGGTGCTATCTCGCTGGTTCTAAAAAACAACACGATCGTATCCTGGGCGTTATTTCCAGGACAAGCAACAGCAACAGTAACAATAGGAAATTTGTAATGTCCTCGCATCTCGTGGACAGAGTCGACATCCCTCCTTTTCAGGACGATCCTCTCATTATCAATATTTGGAAAAATTCTATTCACACAAAAGGAGAAAATTAAAAATCCACTTTTGCTTTTTTTTCTCCCCTGAGCAATTCAATTTTTCTCCGAAGGATCGAAACTTTTACACTTTTTTTATTTAGAATTTATCAAGAATAGTTTTGTTCTTGATATAGAATTCTTTTTCTTTTTGAAATTCTGTTTCTTTCGTCTCTTATAAGTACTAATCTCTTTGTCCGCTAATAAACTAACTTAATTTAGAATTTCTCTTCTACTCTAGTCGTTGTTGATAAGAAATCAACTCGACGTGTTTAATCGGAAGATATTTGGATTAGTTGTTATTTTTGGAATTTTACGTCTTGGGACAAAGGGACACAATTTTTTTTCTCCCCCCAAAATGAAAGAAGGAGACAATTGTAGAAAAAAAGAAAATTGGTCCCCGTTTATTTCTAGTGTTTATTAATTTTTCTCCCTTTAATATTCTTCTTCTTTATTTACTTCTTACTTTTTATTTCTTACTTCTTTACTTTGATACTAATAAACTACTTTTCTTATTACTATTTCCTTTTTTTCTTCTTCACCTAAACAATAGTAGTGAAGATAATCGCGAATACAAGATTTTTCACATATATGCACACTATATATATATATATATATATATTTTTTTTTTTTCTTAATATATATTTTTTATGATCTCTCGCCAACAACGTTTTTTCAATCAAGTTTTCGCGCTAATGATGCCCGCGGGCTAATTAATTATAGCACCGAGGCTAAAAGGCTAAGCTTTGGAATACCCGTACTGCTCCGACCTGCTCCTCTGAATTGTGTACGAGAAAAAATGTTAATTTTTTTCTTTTTACAAAAGAATCATTTAAAGAAATTTCTTCTTTTTTTTCTTCTTCTTCTATATAATCTAGTTTTGAAGAGAACAAAAATTTATAGTCAAAATATGTTTTTTGTCATTATTATTATTATTATTATTATTATTTAATTTTTACAAATTTGGGTAATTTTCTTTTTATAGAATCTATTTTCTAGATTAAGAGGAATATTTTACAAGTTTTATTAGTTTTGATATAATGAGAGGATTTTTCCGTTTTCTTTCGTGGGGGGAAATATGGAGAAAGAGAGTGAGAGAGAGAGAGAATATTGGAAAATGACGCTTGTTTTCGTTCGTTATCCAGTTAATCGAATTATACAAATCGTGAATAATCCTCTTATGTGCTGCTATTTACATGTGTTTCTCAATTCAAGGGGTGGGTCTTTCTTCGATCACGTGATTCTTTCTAAAAAAATTTAGATAATTTTATTACACTTTTTTTGTGTTAGGAATTCAATTTCATTTGGAAACAAATTCTTTTTTTTTTGAAAATTTGAATTTTTTTTGCAAACCAACTTTTCAGGTGGATTTTTTTTTGAAAATCAGTAAATGTTGCCAGTTTTTTGTTAAGGGGGAATTTTCCAGTTGTACTTTAATTAACAGTTGCCGGTAATTTTTCGAAATTTTTGAGTTACATTTTAAGCAACAATTGTCGTTTATCGAAACGATGATTTTTAAAATTTTCCAGTTGGAATTTTTAATCTACAGTTGGCCTTTTTTTCTACAAAAGTTTCACACTTAAATTATCTTCGCTTTTTTCATGAATTCAGTTGTTTTCGATTTTTTCCTCTATTTAATTGTCTCCGAGTTTCTTTCTTCAATTCAGTTATATTCCATTTTTTTCTGTAAATCAATTACATTCAATTTTATTCTTAATTCAATTGTCTCCGCTTCTTCCTCAAATAAATTGTCGTCAATTTCTTTAATTAAATTTTCATCAATTCATTTGTCTTCGATTTTCCTGCAATTCAATTATCTTTGATTTTTTTTCAATTCAATTGTCGTCGTCTATTTTTTTCCTTCAATTCGAAATAAGCAACAGTCTCTGTTTTTCTTGAGGCAATTATCAAATTCCTAAATAGAAAATAGGAAATGGGTTCTATTTCTCCTCAGATTCCACGAATTCGTAAGGGAAAGAAATTAATTCCAATAAAGTCTTTTTTCAATTTTGTTTTTCGAAAAAAAATTTTTATTTTTTGGGGGAAGGGGAAATTCCAAGAAATCTGGTGTTTCACCTTTGATAAAAAGGTGCTTGCCACTTGACGGCTATGTCGTCGACGTTATGCAGGAGAAATAATCTTCTCGCATCGTGTTCATAATTCGAACGAGTTTCCTCAACATTGCACCACACTCTCTCCTTTCCTCTTCTTTAGTCACACTTGTTCTTTATATTTGGTCTCGCGTTAACGTCGTTATTTTTTAAAACCCCCTTCCGTTGCACGAGGTCAGGAACTATATAATATTTTCGAGAGAAAAATTCCCCTAAAAGTTTCTTCACTTTTTTTTGCCACCAGAAAAAAAGAACAGAAAAAAATTACACACTCCCGAAATAAAATTGTCTACTTGTTGCTTTATAACGAAACTGTCACTGAATTCTTTCCTTACTCTCCGGAATAAGAAAGCAAGAAATTCTGTAAATCGAAAAATTTTTTCTTTCGTTCAAAAAAAGAATGTCCTTTTGTCAATGATTTCTCGGAGGGGGAAAATTAAGAGGAGAATTTTCTTTTTTTTTTTTTTTTAATTGTTCCCCCCTCCCGTGTTTAAAGTAAATTACGTTTTACGATACGTCACGATATATATACGAGAAGAACACTGGCTTGAGTATCCAGCCGGGACACGTACCATAGGATCACGACCCATTAAACCGAGTAAATCCGAGCGCGCATGACGGTGACTTGTCGACTTTGTAGCGGCACACTGCTGACTGACTCTCTGGAAAAAGAGGAGAATGATTCAGACAGGGGATGATCCTCTGAGTAGGATATGTTTTAGAGGGTGGGGGTAGAAGTCGGAAAATGGTAGAGGGGAAAGAGAGAGACAGAGAGAGACTACGACGCAGGGGGAGAGACGGAACAATTTTCCAGTTTCCGAAGAAAATTGCTAAAAAAGACAAGCCACAAACAGCGAGGGAGTGTTATATATTACATATAAACGTGGATTGAGAAAAATTGAGAGAAGGAATTGAATTTTCATTCAGTGGGATTGCACACGTGGTTTTTGAAATCAAGAAAACCTATCAAGCATTCTCGAGGTGGTTTCGACAATACTAGCACCTCTACTTTTCATGCTCGACAAATTTATCCCGAGGATATTCATAATAATATATACGTGCTGGAAAAATTCTTGAAATACGAGAAAGAAATTAAATTATAATTCTTGATAAAAAGATAATAAAATAGAATGTCTTTTTTTATGGAATATTTTGACAGATTTTTCTGTATTTTTTTCTTATATTTTCTATTAATTTTTATTTTAATTCATTAGAATTGATGCGCAAAACGGAAAAAAGTAATAAGAAATCGAGAAATTTACCATTTATTTTTAACAAGTATAACTGGTTTTTTTTACTATTTCATGAAAATGGATGCAAATTATTAAAGTTGCAGAAGATAAAAAGCTTAAAGAGTAAAAATAGAATATTAATTTTAGAAATGTATTGAACTTGAAAAATGTAATGAGTAATAAGTGTATGAAAATGGTATAATTTATGACTACTTTTTAAAAGCACTTATTTTTTTAGGGCTAGGTTTGCAAGAAAAAAAGTAAAAAAAAAAAGTAAAAGTAAAAATAATTATAGTAATGGAAATAATAGATAATAATAATATTAATAATAGATAAAAATAATAATAATAATAATTTTTTTCAATATATATATATATATATATATATATATATATATATATATATATATATATATATATATATATATATATATATATATATATGTGTATATAGAAATACAATTATTTTTTATAGTTTTAATAGTAAAATTTAAACTGCCTGGAAATTATATTCAATTCTGTGATAATTTTTACTACATCCTGAGTGAATTTCACTGTTTGTGAAATAAGTTTTAGTAATTTAAAATAAATTTTACTATTTTTAAAGAAATTTTAGTGAAATAAATTAAAATAGAACAGAAATAAATTTTACTTTTTTCAAAATAAGTTTACTACTTCAGAAGTAAATTTTAGTATTTATTGTTTAAATTGTAAGCTTTACCATTTTCAAAGTAAACTTTAGTAGACTTCGGAAGAAAATTTTACTATAATAAGAGTAATAGTAACAAAAAGGATATTAAATAATGAAAGTAGAAATATAAATAGTAATAGTAATAGCAATAGAAACAGTAAGAGAAATAAGAATAATAGTAAAAAATTTGTAGTAATTTAGTAACAGTAGTAGTTATAGTTATAGTAGTAGAACAGAAAAAAATAGTAGTAAATAATAAACAATAGTAGTGTCAATAATAGTAACTGCAAAGGTTACAGTAACAGAAATAATAATAAATAGTAAAAAATAATAGTGATGTTGATAATATCAGCAATAGTGACAGTAATTAAAATGATACTAAATACCAAAAAATAGTATTAGTAACAGTTATAGAGTAAAAATATCAATATTAATAGTATTAAAAATATCAATAATAATAATAATAATAATAATAATAATAATAATAATAATAATAATAGCAGTAATAATTGTAAAATAATTACAAAGTAAAACAACTAAGAAATGATAATACTAGCAGTAAGAGACAACATATTAATAAAAATAATAATGAAAATAGTAATAAAAATAAAAGAAATAATAAATTGTAAATATAATAAAAATACTAGTAGTAGTAAACACTATAACAATGAAAGTAAGCGATACAACCAGAGAAGATTGAAAGAGCTAAAAATAAATAAAGAAGCTACAAGTATTGAGAAAACAAATCAAAATTTAAAAATTAGGTACTATCAAGAAAATAGAATTTGCAAAACCTGTAAAAATACGAAAATGGAAAAAAATAAGGAAATAAAAATTTACTTCTTTACTACAAAATATTAATTTTAATTAATGCAGCATTAGATGCAGTAATATTGAAAGTTAGTACCAGGAAAGGAAGAAATTAGAACCAGAAAAGGAAAAATTAGTAAGAGAAAAAAATTTGTACCAAAAAGAAATTAAAAGAAATTAATACCAGAAAAGGAAAAACATTCATAATAGAAAAGGAAAAAAGTTAGTTCGAGGAAGAATATTTATTTCAAGGATAGAAAAAATATATTTTCAAAATATTAACAAAAGAAAATTTCTTGTTTTTTTAGGAGAAAACAAAATTGGTCCAGTACCGAGAAAAACGTAGTCAGAGTTGCCGGACTTTGGAGAAGTTTTTTTTAATACACGCGTTTTTCTCTTTTTTAGCGCGCGAAAAAATATTTTTTTGTTATTTCTAAAGAGAACCTTTGACTAGCCCATTGAGGAAGCTGTCTGCTCCACGACGAGTCCTACGATCAACTGTATGGCAAAATTCGAAGCGCTTTTCGTTGGAGTCGAGGGTGGGGTGAAGGGGTTAGAAGAGGGTGTGAGGGGATAGAGTTTATAAACGAGAAGCAAGCGCAGGCGTCAAGTTAAAGTCCGACTGTAGCACCACACCAAACTACGTTGTTGGCAGTCGACTTTGGTCCATCGACCAATCAATTTTGTTCGTCGAGAAAAAAACAAATGCGAAAAAATTCATTATAATGCTAAATTCTTTTTCGATTTATGGTGTCTGTCAGGGTGTTGAGGTAAGCTTGGAAGGGGTTCTTTTATTTGGAATACTTGATAGTGATGCTGAATACAGAAGGGATGATTTTGTCTTTCCTTTTTTATAGTTTTCTTTTGATGATGATCATGATGTAATAATTTTTTCTTAAAGCTCACATGTCTCTTGGACTTGTGAAATTTGTAGTTGTTGTATGAATGAGGGATCATGTAGAAGCGGCTGTTGCCATTCTCATCTTGAAATATGCACACTACACTTGCTCACAATTCTGTCCATGATTAATTACAAGCCCTCTTGGTACAAGGTGATCGCACGAGTTATCGTC